CTTAGAATTGAAATCCACAATTAATAATTAAAAACATTATATCATATAGTTATACTCCGCGATAAGTAAAGCTTCTACAGAAAATAGATTAAACACTGTTGGATAGTTATATACTCTTATTTTAAAATATCTAGATTTTAAAAACACTGTTGTATAGTTATATATATTCAGAAGCCTTAGAAGTCGGGAACCTGCGAATCACTGCAATAGTGTATTTAAGAAAATAAGATACTGTTAAATATACTCTTAAATATACTCTGCGATATAAAAATATCTAGATTAAAATAGAAGTATCCGGAACCTGAGAACGAGAAAGTCGCATGCTACACTGCTACTCTGCGACTTCGTCTTCTTGCTAGACTGCTTCCTGCGATGCTTCTTCGTCTGTATTCCGTAAGGTCGTAACTCGTAAGGTAACTATGGGCTTAGCTTTTTAATTAAAATCTGAAGCCTTAATTAAATCCTTAAAGGGCTTTAGCTTCCTAAAAACGAATGAAATTAGCTTCCTAAAAATAATTAAGGCCTAAATCTATTTTTCTTTTTAACTGGGTTTGGGAGTTCTGGCCCAGTTTTCTGCGACTTACGAATTAGGCGAGGAATCCGTCGCCAACACAACGACATGGCGACGACTTGGCGACGCCAGACTCGACCGATTTTCTTCTGGCGAGGCGAGTGAAGCCGGCGAGCTTCCTTCAGCGCCTGGACGCCTAGTCGCCGACTAGGCGACGCCTAGGCGACGCCGTGACAACCATGGTTTCAAACCATAAAGAGATTTGCGAAGTCGACAAACTTTCCCATACTCCCCCTGAGCAACAAATCCTGGAGGTTGCTCAATATAAACTTCCTCTTGAAGGTCACCATGCAAGAATGCATTTTTAATGTCCAACTGATGTAACTGCCAATCATGAGTTGCGGCGAGTGAAATAAGTAACCTGACAGATGTTAATTTAGCAACAGGAGAAAAAGTATCAGAATAGTCAACACCATAGGTTTGAGCATAACCCTTCGCAACTAATCGAGCTTTCAATCGAGCAACAGATCCATCTGGGTTAACCTTAACAGCAAAGACCCACTTACATCCAATAGACTTCTTCCCTATAGGCAAGTCTACCAAATCCCAAGTACCATTAAGATCCAAAGCATTCATTTCCTCTACCATGGCATGATGCCATTCAGGATGAGACAAAGCTTCTTTGACAGATTTGGGAACAGAAATAGAATCAATGGAAGCAATAAAAGAACACGAGGCAGAAGATAACCGACTATATGACACAAATGAAGAAATAGGATGAGTACAAGACCGTGTACCTTTACGTAGTGCTATCGGGAGGTCAAGATCTGATGTAGAGACAAGATCTGAAGATGCAGGTACTGGTTCAGGACATGAGATCGAAGTCAGATCAGTATCAGGATAAGTAATCACAGGTGTCACAGGTGGAGAGTGATCTGGTGCTTTGTGTCGACGGGTGTAAACCAAGTGTACTGGAGGTCTAGGGTCAGGAACAGTAACATTCGGTATAGTTACTGAAGGTGTGGTCTCAGGTATAGTAACTGTGTAAATGAGTATGTCATCATTGTCCTCATGAATATCTGTCTTGGATGATGACAAAGGTGTATTTTCATGAAATGAGACATCAATAGAAATAAGGTATCGACCTGTACTTGGACAAAAACATCTATACCCCTTTTGAACTCGAGAATAACCTAAGAAAATACATTTCAATGATTTGGGATCCAACTTCGTGCGATGAGGGTTAACATCTCTAACAAAACAAGTGCAACCAAATATTTTAGGTGGAATGGAAAAAAGTTCTTTATTTGGAAAAAGGCATTGATAAGGAGCTTTACCATCCAAAACAGAAGATGGCATACGATTGATCAAAAAACATGAAGTAGACACCGCATCAGCCCAAAACTGTTTAGGCACATTCATTTGGAATAGAAGAGCCCTTGCTGTTTCTAACAGATGTCGATTCTTTCTTTCAGCAACTCCATTTTGAGGAGGTGTGTCTACGCATGAAGTTTGATGAATAATGCCATGTTGAAGCATAAAAGATTTAAATGGAGCAGATAGATATTCTTGGGCATTGTCTCCCCTTAACACACGAACAGGAACATTAAATTGAGTTTTAATTTCAGCACAAAATGCAGAGAAATGAGTAAATAATTCGGATCGACGCTTCATGAAGTACAACCATGTCATACGAGAATAATCGTCAACAAAAGTAACAAAATATTTGAAACCAGATTTGGACACAACTGGACATGCCCCCCAAACAACGGTATGGACAAGATCAAATGGAGCATTTGCTCGTTTATTAAGTCGGGGACTTAAACTAGTGCGATGATGTTTTGCAAACTCACACGACTCACATTGTATAGATGACACCTTATTAAACTGAGGATGTATTTGCTTCATTAGTGGGAGAGATGGATGTCCTAATCGGTAATGAGCTTCTAATAGATTTCCAACCCCAAGACAAGAGATACCTTTTGTGATTGATGTATCCAAAATATAAAGACCAGCCGACTCATGTCCTTTACCAATAGTCTGCTTCGTTAACAGATCCTGAAACACACAATATCCCGGAAAAAATGTTACAGAACAATTAAGAGTACGTGTGATTTTATTGATGGAAAGCAGATTAAACGAAAAATTAGGAAGACTCAAAACAGACGATAATGGTAATGTAGAAGTTGGTACAACAGTACCGGATCCAAGAACGGGTGAGGTAGACCCGTCAGCTAAAGTGACACTGGAAGTAGGTAACTGCGAGTGAAATGATGAGAATAGACTAGGATTACCAGTCATATGATCTGTGGCACCTGAGTCAATGACCCATTTCGAGGATGATGAAACAAGACATGTGTTTGAAATACCTGAATTTGCGACTACCGAGATAGGGATAGAAGAATGCTTTAGAGATTCTTGGTAGCAAATAAATTTAGCATACTCGCCTGAAGAAATAGCACTGGATCCATCAGATGAGCTGGTAGCAGAAGCAACATGAGCAGTCGAATTTCCTTGATTTTTGAATGCCAATTTTCTACATTCTTTGATCAAGTGCCCATATTTCTTACAGTAGTTGCATATTAACTGTTTTCCAAGTTCACGAGGACAGAACATTTTTTTTTATCACCCTTTTTTTGCCTTTTTTTTTAATTCAAAATTGAGATAAAGGTGGAAAACTTACATAAGCCTTTCCCGTTTGTGGACTAAACTTTGGAGAATAGAATATCCAATTTGCTTGGTTGGGCCGTTGACTGCTACTCCAGACAGAATTCCTATGCAAATCCCCACTGAATAACAACCAGACGAAAACAGTGCGTATGTCCGCAGATATGAGATGTCCGCAGATAACGCAGATTTCCGATGCCAGCCAAGACCCAGCCCTCCTTTTATCTATACCTGGATATTGCTACAGGAAACTCCGGCGAATCTGACGATGCTCGCTGTTAGAATCTCCGGCCAGAAACACGGCGTCACGCGCCGGCGCGTGTGTTGGCTGCGGGAGCTTCCGACGGCGCGTGTAACCCACGCGAGGTGATTTGGGCGTGCGGACTCCGGGTGGTTGGTCGACGGCGGCAGCCGAACCAGAGGATGAGGGAGGTGAACCAGAGTGTGAAAAGGGTTGCCGGCTTCTGAGATGGGAGGTTCTGGAAAGATGTTCTGGGAAGAAGTTCTGGAAAAAGGTTCTGGAAAAAGGTTCTGGGAAAAGTCTGAGATCAGAGGTTCTTGAAGACTGTGGACTGAAATCAATTTCTTGGAGAAACAACACAGTTTGAAAACTAAATTGAGATAGAGATAATGACAAACTAAACTGAAATCTCAAAGGAAAAACTACCTGAAATGGAAGGCTCTGATACCATGTTGAAATATAAACTAGAATGATAATAAAGATGGAGAGAAGGATTTTCTGTGTATTTCATTAGTTGTGAAAGTCCCTATAAATATACATTACAGATAGAATATTCCTATATAAGATTCTATACAATAATAATATCCTAAAGTATATTCCTAGAATATTCTGAAGTATATTCTAATATTCTAAAGTATATTCTATATCTTTCACATACATGATCATTTCTCTATATATGTATATACGATATATACGAAGTATATATAGAGAGAGAACTTTAATGGAAGCATTTATGCATCTATATGGTGATCTAAAATTTACTAATATTTATTAGACACTATTTCCTTTAATAACTCTATCGATCGGTGACAATTAATGGGGTTCAGTTAGTATCATTCTTTATTTGCAGCCATCCAATTTAGTGAATCAAAGGCTATATTTATTCTTATTATTTCTCTTTTAAGCCCCCTTTCTCACCAGAACCGCACCCTATATATATACATATGTATACATTTAAAATCAAATACAAGTAATCCTTTACATGAAAAATAATAATAAGCCTGTAGCATTAGATTTAGGATCTAATGACTCTAAATAATTCAAAGTTTTTGTTCTTTGTAAAAAGTGGACTTCCAGCGTGCAATAGTGTACCGATCGGATGCCGAAAATCTTCACAATGCAATAGTGGAACTCAGACGCTCAAAAATAAATCAGCCCTATAAATAAGTCACCATATAAAGGAACATTTATGTGTAATGTAAATAAAAAAGAACATGACTTGGATGGATAATTGCCTTGAAAGTTGCAGGTTTAACTGGTTTAACACATTTGGATCTGTTTGGAGCTTGTATTAGTATAAATCAATCATCATTTACCCCAGTGCCGCAAAGGCTCCCACCTACGGTGGGGTAAGGGGGGTCGGATGTACGCAGTCTTACCCCTATACTAAAGCACAGAGAGACTGTTTCAGAATGACCCATAATTGTATTATATTAGTATTAGTATAAATAAGAAGAAAAAAACTATAACTAAGTCACCCTATGAAGGGACATATATCTATAAATGTAAATAAAGAAAAGAACATGGTTTACCATATATTTTTACCATGACTTGGATGGATAACTGCCTTGAAAGTTGCAGGTCTAACTGGTTTAACCCATTTGGATCTGTTTGGAGCTCGTATTACTGATGCAGGGACGCACTATTTAAAGCGTATGCCCACTGTTTTATTTATGGATATATTTTTATCTGCACATTGTACTTATATTACTTGCACAGATACTTACTACTAGTGTTTTGTAGATTTGAAAAGCTTGAGGGGGCTGGAAGTTTGTGGCGGGGGGTTAACGGATACAGGGGTGAAAAACATAAAAGATCTGACGGCCCTCACTCTGCTCAATCTTTCACAGAACAGTCACCTCACTGACAAAAGCCTGGAAGCAATTTCGGGTATGTACATTCATGTCCTTGCTTATGGATATAGGTGGCCAGTAAAGTTGGTTGGTTCATGCAGGGCTGACGTGTCTCGTGTCTCTGAACGTATCAAATTCGCGGGTAACAAGTGCCGGGTTGGATCACCTGAAGACACTCAAGAAACTGAAATCACTGACATTGGAGTCGTGCTTCAAAGTCACTGCAAAAGACATGAAGAAACTCCAGTCTGCCCACCTTCCCAACCTCCTTGTTTATAGGCCGGCTGCCCCCACTGTATGACCCCTCTTCCCTCGCGATACAAGAACAGGAAGAAGAAGAATTTAGATTGAGAAGCCACTTATCCATCGAGCTTCCTCCTCCTCTGTGTATACATCTAATAAAAAGCGCAAGCATTTGCTGAATTGTAAATATGACGCATGGCCAGGCTTATGTTTTTATGGCCAGGGGTGGAACTTTACTTATTGTAAAAAATTGTAAATCATACTCTTCAAAGTATTTAGTGGAATAAAATATGTGAAATGTCTACAAATGAGATAAAATGCACATATAAATAAAAGTAGTAACAGAAGACCAAAAAAAGCAGAAATATTACTTATAGCTTTGTGATGGACAAAAAAGTGACCTCTTAAATCCGGAAAGGCCAAAACATCCCTAAATAAAACTAAACCCCACTCCCCATGGGCTGTCCACACTATCAGGTGTCATTGTGTCATTCCTCAACTTCCTCTCGCACAGGCACCCACCCTAGCCTACCGAATCCCGCCGTCCCCCATCTGTTGGATGCGGCCCACTGAATCCTGTCGGAGGTAGACCTCATTCGTAGAATCGTAGCTCTATCTACTCTTCTTCTCTGCTTTCATATTGATATTTCGGTAGAAGAACAGTACCTCATTTGATCATTTACTCGTTTGCTATTGTGTTGCAGAGGAGTGGGGTGGTAGAAGGCTCCTATAGAAGATCACTAGCAACATTTGGCTCACATCCAGTAGGAGGATACATCACTTCAGGCCTTCCTCCTAACTATGAGGAACTAGACGATGAAGAAATCGGAGTATGAGTGAGAAATCCCAAGGTTCCCATGTCATTACAACCATTCATAGATGAAATAGATGTAGAGGGCAACACCATATTCTATGATGGCAGATCACCTGAAGAAATATGATTTGGAGACTCAACAAAGTGATAGTAGGACCGCTGAGGGATGCACCCACACGCTATCAACTAGGAGAACTAGCTCCCAAATGGAGGGATTGCATAGTTACAGGAGACTTTCTGAAAACAAGAGTATGCTCTCCTTGAAAGAGAACTTCAAGAGTAAGGGAAAAACAACAACACAACGTTCAACAGCAGCAGCCTCGAAGGCCATCACAACAACATCAACCTCCTAGTCCCCAACAACAGGCTTCAAGGCCAAAATATCAGCCACCATTACACGATGACTGGTGGAAACCAGAGAACTGGAAAGATCAAGATTCAGGGTTCCCAAAAATAATTAGCTATTTAAATACTTTCATTCTTTTGTTATAGTTTTGACATCATCAAAAAAGGAAGGATTGTTAGGTCCTTTAGATTTTGATGATACGTTTGTATTTGACTTTGAGCACTTGGCTTGTAATGTTTTGTCATTTTTGCTGCATTCAATTTATCAAAAGAAAAGTACTCAAAAGAATGAAAAAGATAAAAAGGAATGGTACTAAAAAGAGAAGAGAAGAAATGAGAAAGACGTACCAAAAGTAAAGAAATGTAAAAGAAGGGTACGCACAAAGAGTCAACTGGTAATTTACACTTAGCAGCAGACTGCTGTCAATTCAACAACAGGTTGTTGTTAGCATGCCCACTCACACCTAGGGATGGACTGGGCCGGGCCGAACCGGCCCGGAACCGGACCGGCCCGCTACTGTGCGGGCCCGAACCGGACCGGGCCCGGTTGGCCGGTTCCGGGCTTTTAGCCCGTTTTGGCGGGTCGGGCGGGCCGGTTCCGGGCCCTGTTTTTGTTGAACCGGCCCGGGCGGTTCGGGCCGGGCCCGGTTCATTTTTTTTTTTTTTTTTTGGTTTTTTCAATTTTTTTTCTTTTCCTAGGGTAGAGCTGGGTGTTTTAGGGAGGTTTGGGGCGTGGGGGTGAGGGGGGGGGTAGGGAGATAACAAGAAAGTCAAAAAAAAAAAAAAAAAAAAAAAACATTGAACCGGGCCCGGCCCGGCCCGGCCCGGTTAGGCCCGGACCCGGTATCAACCCGGGCCGGTTCCGGGCCCATGTAACCCGAAAAAAAGCCCGCCCGGGCCCGGCCCGGAACCGGAACCGGCCCGGCCCGGGTCCATCCCTACTCACACCGCAACAGCAGGTTGCTGATAAACTGCCCCAAGCCTCTTGTCAACTACAACTGTCAAAAGAAACCAAATTTGAGACCGTTGTAAGAGGCAAAGTTGACCGTCATCTATGTTGCACAGATACGGATGCACCGATACGCGAATACGGCGATATGGCAATTTAAAAAATTATAGGATACGGGTACGGAGGTATATTTATAAATAATAAAAATATAGGGTATAATTTGCAAATATATACTACGTATAATTTAGCGGTTCATAAATAAAATAATAATAGTACAGAAAATTAACTACTATAATAAAATTTCAAAGATTAGGCTAAAAAAACTTAAATTATTGATTTTTTATTTAAATTCAAATAATATTTTTGATTCTCTATTTGCATTTAAGTCTTAAAGCTCATCAAGTGATAAAATGACAAATTATAGTATTCCAATATTTTCCATACTATATCATCTTTATCAATGTTCCACATCTTGTGGTCGCTTGGACGGCTACTAAATTTTCGTCATGTCGTGTATGAAATAAGAGATATAGGGTCAGATACGCGTATCGGTTCACGGATACGGGAATTAGAAGTATCGGTATTTTTAAAAAATAAGCCCAATACTTTTATTAAATTACCGATACGGACCCAATACATACATGACGTGTATCGGTGAGACTCGATATCAAATACGTATCGGATACGCGGATACAACATTTGGTGAAGTATCGGTGCACCATAGACCGTCATAACTATCGCTACGACTTCCATTTTTTGCAGCCAAGTCAAAATATGCAACGTGTGACCATTGGACGCACAAGTAAATTGTATGGTACGTAGATGTAAATTGTATGGTGCGTAGATAATACTAGTATTATTGTGAGGAAAAGACAAGGGGACCCATGTACGAAGTAAGTATATATGGGTAATGGGTGGCTGAAAGTTGTGTCTCTAGTTGTGTCTCTAATTATTTCTCAAAGATATTTTTGAGATGTTATTTACACGGCACATATACATTTGAGTATATCAAATATTATCTATTTGACTTGGAAGATAATTGAGACAGTAAATACAAACAAAGAAGTCACAACCCGTGACATAAGAAGACAAAAACAATCATGCTACTTCAGTCACCAAGTAGACCAACCAATGCTCAAGGCTGAATCTCCTTGATCAAAGGGAGATATATAACAACTGAAGTCTATAAATACAAAAGAAGTATGGTGAGTTAAATGTGTGTAGCTAAGAGGAACATACGAGCATATACGACACATCTAGCAAAGGAGTAAGTGCTCTATCACTCGTCTTCTTAGCTCACCCCACTTTACTAAGCTCTTAGACTAGTTACTCACAAATATATCTTTAGAGCTTTGATTAATTGAATTTTTAGATTTTTAGATTTTCTTTGTAAAACTAAATTGGTTGTAACATACAGAAGGCTTCATGATCAAACCCAAGAAGAAGAACATTAGTACCTCTTAGCAAGTCAATCATATTAGTGAAAAACCTTGTAGAGGATAGGACTGAGTAGTTCTTAGCAAGTCAATGCTATTAGTGAAACACCTATAAGATTGGGTACTTTGGAGTGGTATTTAAACTCCTCGTGAAAAACCTCACAATCTATACTTGTGATCAAGGGTAGATTGGACACTAAATGTAATGAGTATATTTGCTTAGTGAATTTCATTAGCTCGAGGGTGAAACTGAATGTAGGAGGATTACACTAACTCTAAACCAGGATATACCATGTGTCATCTTTACTTTCGGTATCCACACCGTCACAAACCACACTCACCCTAAAACCTATCCAAACACAACTCTCAAACAACCTTCATACTGATCAGTGGACTGCATTAACGTAGAGTCATTTTATATACCTAGTTCATTGTTAAATGTTGAAATATAAACTAGAATGATATTAAAGATGGAGAGAAGGATTTTTTGTGTATTTCATTGAAGGGTAAAGCCCTATAAATATAGATTACAAAGATAGAATATTCTTATAAAAGATGTTATACAATAATATTATATATGGTATATTCCTAATATATTCTAAAGCATATTCTAAAGTATATTCTAATATACTTTCACACTCCCCCTCAAGTTGGAGCATAGATATTTATCATGCCCAACTTGTTACATAAATAACCAACATGAATTCTATTTAGTGCTTTAGTGAACAAATCTCCAAGTTGTTCCCGGCCCAGTCTTCACATATCCTGTAGAGATCAATCCTTTGTGTATCTTCTCTCGAATAAAATGACAATCGACCTCAATATGCTTTGCTCTCTCATGAAATACAAGATTGTTTGCTATGTGTATAGCAGCTTGGTTATCACACCACAATTTAGCAGGCATTGATGTCTTCAGTCCGAGCTCGGTCAATAAATGGCTTATCCATATGATCTCACATGCAGATTGTGTCATAGCTCGATATTCAGATTTGGCACTCGAACAAGAAACCACATTCTGCTTCTTACTCTTCCAAGATACAAGATTACCACCAACAAAGACACAATAACCAGATGTAGATCTTCGATCATCTTTAGAACCGGCCCAATCAGCATCTGCAAAACATTCTATTCTCATGTGATTATGGTTTTGATAAACAATACCTCGTCCTGGTGCACCCTTTAAGTAACATAATATGTGTTCTACTGCAGCCCGTGATCAATGGTTGGAGAGGACATGTGTTGACTCACTACACTCACATGATAGACAATATTTGGACGAGTGACTGCGAGATAATTAAGCTTTCTGATGTGTGTTTTCTCGCACTTAAAATAGATCGTAATATAGTGGTGTAAGTACGAGTATCGTCTCCACAAGGACGGACAAAAGGGAATCAAGAATTAATTAAATTCAGCGATTAAAAGAAATAAATAAAATAAATGCGTCGTGCGAGATATGATTGGTATGAAAAATTAAAATGCAACTAAACAATTAAAATAAATGGATTCTCTCTAATTAATGACGAAGGGAACAAGGATTGATTCCAGGGTAACCAGATTTCTGGCAGATCAGGCCTAATTACATGAAATTAATTCAATTGAACCTAGCTAATCATTACTAAGTTCTTACCATTCTCGCGGCGTAGAGTACAATAATTTAGGGGATCAGGCTGATCTCTCATGCGACAGGATCCTAAATTATTGCCAAGACGAGCGAGCTTACGGCCCCTTAATCGCTACTAATCTCTTAGCGAATGATTAAG